GATTTCCAAGTGTCAGCATGTCCTTTAATTAAATGCTGATTAACGGGGGACATGCTCCCTCGTGCTGGAGCACGGCTGCTGCCGGTAACACCACCCTGCGCCGGGAGCCGGGGCGGTCTGCTCCGCCTTCCTCTTGCCCTCTGGGAAGCATCTGGCTTGGTCTAAAAGCAGGAGCAAGGGGCTGTGGGGGCAGGGAGCTGGGGAAGCAGGAGGTTGTGGCGATGGAGCCCTCTGGCACTGTGAAGAGCTGGGTTCTCTTCCTGCCACCGAGCTACTCCACGGCCCCAGGCAAGTCCCTTTCCCACCTGGTGCCCCCACCCTGCCCCCTTGGTCCAAATGCTTAGTGAGACTAGAAGCTCAGCAGGCCGAGCCTGTCCTTCGCTGGGGCCTCGCCCGCAGGGAGAAGTCGCTCGGCCTTCATTTCAGCCCGTTAAAGCAGGCTGGTGCAAACCTCATTGCGAACGCTCTTAGATCAGCCTGACCTTGGTTTAGCTCAAGCTCGCTCCCACCGAAATGAAATAAGCTTGTTGCAAACTGAAGTTAATGGCCACGTGGCCCATTGCACTGGTCTAATACACCCAAAGCTTCTGCTTTCTCAGGTACACGTACAGCTCCTAGCACAGCGGGGCCTTGACCCAACGGGGGTCTATAGGTGCACAGAACAACAGTGCCCCTCAGCCACAACAGGTACATGCCAGAAACATAGCTAATGCCTCACCAACACCCATGAACATTTTATGCCCGGCTCATTCACACCCGAGCACGCTCCCAGGCCCACGCTCCCTTGTAATGCCGTGTTGCAGTTCCCAAATACACGCTCATGTTCAATTATCTCAATTACTGGGCTGACTGTCCACCAGGGATGTGACCGGTCACGGATTTGGCAAGAGACCGGGGGCCAGAACGGTCTCATCTGCCTTTCCGCTCTCAGTTCTGCAACAGATCTGATTTCTCTTCCCCTGACACATCTGCGTGCCGCTCAGCCGCTGTCCCGGGCTGTCTGCAAGGGTTCGGCGCCGAAGCTGTCAGAGGAGAGCGACGTGACGGGAGGTGGAAGGGCAGCCCCCCATGACCACGGCGCTGCTTTCAGAGCCAGGCCTCAGAGCAGCATCCAGTACCGCTGCTATGGACCCAAATTGTTTGAGACTTGCAAACAGGCCCCAAAAGCTTGCAGAAAAGGACAACTTTCTTGCCATTTTCCAATTAGTCTAATAAAAGGTATCATTTTGGAACCAAGAGTTCGGGTTTTTTGTACATCTTTGAGACTCGCAGGGAGTTTACAGCAGCACTCTGGAGAGTGCTGTGGGCTGAGAGACTTTGGTAGCAACGATCCCCATAACGAAGGGCTTGAGAGACATTGAACAGGTGCCTCAGTTCCCTGGGCTGCACTGAAAACAGCCACCTCCTGGACAGCATATTAAAGCTGCTGCTAGAAAATCACCTTTGCAGAAAGCCTTTCTGTACTGAGTATATAAAACTTCCCTAAGCAAAGGCCTCTGGAGAGGGCACTGGCACTCTCAGGTATTTGCCAGGCACCACTTATGCCTAAGAAATACAATTACAGTACTGCTTTTCAATAGCAGGGTTTGAGGGGAAAGGTTTCTCCCATTTGTTTTCCTTCTTCCCAAATAGCTGTTGCTGCCCTTCGCGCTATCCAGCCCTATCACCTGCACAAAGAGACCAGGCTTTTCCGATCTTCCCTTCAGCCCAGAGGAGTCTCTGGCCTCTGGCTGTCCCTTGAGGACTCCCCGGCATTGGCTCCGGGCGATGCTGCGGCTGCCATCGCTCCAGGGGGGGCTGGATCCAGCACTGTGCAACGGAAACCATTTGCGGTTCGCAGCGACACGTGGTGTTTATCCTGCAAAACCCCAGCGACCGCACGATATATTCTTATGTGCCCCCTCCTGGCATCCGGCCGCCATTAACTACTCGCACATCTGCCGCTGGAGACCAGTCTCTGCAACATGCTGCTCTGGCAGCACATGCGGGTCTGAAAATGGGCACAGACAGACCCTTGAAAATGTAGCCCTGTTCCCTGCCCTGGCATAGACCCGAGATACACCTGCCCTGCGCCCCGGCCTGGCACAGAGGGCAGACCCAGGCTATGCCTGAGGTCTGGCTGCAGCATGTTGCCCTATGGCTTCAGTGGCTGTTCTTGCTTGAAACCTGAGGAGCAAAGAATAAGACAGAGCAACCCGAGGTCTCTCTAAATTACACCAGTGCCTGGCTGGGGTCTGCACAGCCCTGGAACACGGGAAGGGCAAAGATGGCTTAAATCTACCTTTCCCCCGTCCTCCCCTTCCTCCTTCCCTGCCTGAATCCGGCCCTGAGTCCATACAAGTGGAATAACATGCACCATCTGTCTCAGGGGAGGGTTACCCCGATCCCTGGGGTGACCCCACTGCAGCCACAAGCTGCACACTCGCCAGTGGCAGAGGGTCACTCCTTCCCCTGAACACAGACTTGGAGTTGAGCAAGGAAGCAAGATTACCGTCTCCCACAGAGCTGCCCCTCGGCCCCTTCCCCAGGCTTCCTCTGCCAGGCTTATGCTACCGTTTTAAAGTCTCTGGGCACGTACCCTTGCAGCTGAAGCCGTGGGACCCCCCCCCACCCCTCCGTAATCAGAGCAGGGGAGAGGGCTGGTTTGTCATGGCACTGAGACCCCAACACCCTCAGCCCAGAGCGCGCAGTCAGGCAGATGCTGTTGGCGCTGGGGACTAAGCAAAGGCCCGAAGGCCAAATCCCCACGGAGGAGGGCCACGATCCTGTTTTGTGACAGACGTGCGGGTGCGAGTCGAGCTCTGCACTTGCCATGGGCAGGCCCCCTCTCAAAGCAGCCAGCCTGGATCCCCTGTTTTGAACCTGTAACCCTCACTCCCATTCCTGTTTTCTTTTTATTTGTCCCGAGTAATCAGCTGGTGTGTCCCCACTAGCCTCCTTTATCAAGGCAGGCTTATAGTTTTTTCATGACGGGCCTAAGCCCATGACCCTCTAGCACATTAAATAGGCCCCATCAAAGCAGCCTGCTGCTGCTCACCAAATCCCAGGACTCGAACGCACAGCAAGGCCCTCAATAGAAGGTCCTCACCGCCCCTTGGGTGCAGCTCGGAGGCAGCCAGAGCCTGCCAGGCTAGCATCCCCGTGCCCAGGTGAACAGCCCATCCACCCAACGGGTACCGACCCGCTGTATCCCAGGGTCCTGGTTGGCCTCCTCGCTCAGCTTCCCCGAGTGCAAAAACATTCGGAAACCCAGGTGGAGAGCGTGCCGCTCGGTGTTTTGCGCTGGGAGGGCCGTGGAGGGGTGGGGAGCAGGATGAATCATTTTAGCAGCAACCAGATTTCCCTATCCCCCTGCTGAAAAATTAAAGGCTGCGATTGCTTTCAGCTGCCTGCACAGGGAAGGAACGTACCTCTCAGCAGCCAGCCTTGTCGGGATCAGTGTCCATGCTGTCTACCTGTCAGCGGGATCTTCCTTCCGCTCATGCTGAGCATCATATTTTCTGTGAACACCAAGGGAGTTAAAAGCGGCAACTTAAGGACTTGGGAGGCTGAAGGGGTTGGAGGTGGATGGACTCACTGCCGGAGCAGCAGCCAGCCTTTGGCTCAGCCCTTCTGGCTCGGGCGCCAGGAGGTTTGGCTGCATGTGTCATCCCTCTCCTTGGCTCCTCTCACGCCGGTGTCACTGTCCTCCCCTGGTTGGCGCTGGAAAGGGTGGGAGTGGGGAAAGGTTGAGTTACTGTTTGGAAAAGAGAAGCAAACCAGGCAGGCAGCACGTGCCAAGCCTGCCCTCTCGCGGGGGCACTCTGCTCGAGACACACGCTGCCGCTCCCTCCCTGTGCAGTGCAGCATATGGTGTACGACTTCTAATTTCCTGGGGACGGCACGGCTCAGGGCAACCGACAGGCTCCTCATTGCTCTCGATCAGGCCTCGTAGCACCCCCGCTAGAGCCGCACATGCCGGCCGGCCTGCTGGGCTGAGCCAAGCGCTTTCCAAGTCACTGCGCTGTCACTTGGGAGAGCTCTCGTCACCCGCACTCGAGTCCCAGCCGGTGATGTCAGCTCGGCTTGATGCCACCGATTCTGGGAGCCGACATGCTCCGTTGGGAAAAGGAAACCCGTTGTGCCCCCCGCTTCAACCCTGCCACACGCTGTTACGTGGCGAGCCAAATAGAAGCAGCAGGCTAGATTTGCACCTTACAGACTAACTAAATCAGAGGTGTTTAGCATAAGCTGTTGAAAGCAGCAGGCTTCTTAACACAGCTACCCACCCCTCTCAAAGGAGCCATCGCTGAGTACGTGGCACAGATTCTGCCTCTCCGGTCTCATGCGAGCTGGTAGGAAGTCCAGTTGTGACGCAGGCCAAAGCGACACAGGGCAGCGAGGTAGGTTAATGGTTTAATGCTCATCAGTGTCATTGGAGGGCATGGGGCGGTTCTGATTGCAGAGCAGTTGTTGCAGGCTCTCTGCAAACTCAGGCAGAGTCAGTAGGTGGACTGCACTTGAGGCATGTTGTGTAACTTTTCTGAGCAATCTTGCATTTCTTATGAATGCTAAACGATCCAAAAGGTCTGTCTAGTGCCTCCCCTTCCTGCCCACGCGGGACGTGTCCCTCGCTTCTGGGAAACACTGGTTGAAGGACAGCTTGGCGGGCCCTTTATCCATTGACAAGTATTCTTCTCCAGCATTTCAGTGCAGTTATATAGGATCTCTCCCTCCCTCCCCAGAGGTACCTAGGCTTTTGAACCCAGATAGTGCTCTAACCTCAATTGCTGCAGTAGTGACCGGTGTCTGGAGCTGAGCGAGCAGCAGAGGACCTTCTGGGCAAAGCTTGCACAGATTCGCATGTGGCCAGATTCAGATTTGCATTCAGCTTCCGCAGACACTAGAGAGCTTGAGATTTTATTAGCACTGATGTTTGTGGAAAGTAGATGATTTAGCTTGAATATTACCTGAAAATGCATTTCTATTGGGCTTCAATATTCCCAGTTCTCCCCGTGTTGGCTAGTTACGATAGATCGGGTGTTACTGTTTTTCTCCTTTCACTGACGACTAAAGTAAGAAACCAGTGTGGTCTGAACTGGGGATGCCATTAAAAATTCACTCTGGCCACATAAACAAGCTTACCAGTGTAAACCAGGTATACTGGTATAAGTGAGGTTATAGTGTTATAGCGACTCCCTATGGGAAGGAAGGAAGCTAAACCAGTTCAGGGCATCTTTACACTGATATAACCATGTCTTCACATGAGGTTGTAGCAGTAAAACTGGATTAATAACAATGCATACTCCTAACTGAAACAGCTACACACGCAGAACCGATGTGCAGGCCAGGCCTAGGAAATCAGGCAGTGCCTTAAAACATGAAGCATCTTTGAATTAGCACGCTTACAAACACAGCTTAGCACCTAACACGGAGAAGGCCTAGCTCACGCTTTTAAAGGTGTTAAGATTTGTTTATCTGAGGCTCTACGTGGGGCTTGAAAACACATCAGAAACTTTTTAGTACTGGCTGAGCAAATCATTGGGAGCAATTTGATGACTTTTACCCTATTTCCGATTTGAGAATTGTTCTCATTGTTTGGCATTATTAACTAATTTCTCATGCAAACAGCTCTCGGTCTGAAGATCCAAGGAACGCTCATGCTACGGTCACGGACGAGCCGACAGGTCACCTCCAGACTGGGGCAGCTGATGCAGTGAGTGAATTTGTTGGTACTTTCAACTAGTTCACCCTGTGCTTGGGAAGCGGGTAGTTTCTAGTGTAATTAAAGCCGTGCAACTATTATGCATATACAAATCCTTCATTTAGATGTTTCCATAGTGTGTGTAATAGCAGGACCCTGCCCTTGTGGATTCGGGCGGATGGCGTTACAGGAGATGCGGACAGCAAACCAGTGAGGATGTACACAAATTTCCCATTTGCAGCTAATCTAATGTATTGCTGTTTCTAAGTGCTGATCGCTGTGGTAGCTCAACCTCTCTCTCTCATTAAAAAGAACAATCCTGTTCCAGGTTGCGCACAGGGCCATGGCAAATGGATTTGCCATTTTAACTAACTTTGTTTAACTAAAGTAAACAAAAAAAAAAAAAGAAAGAAATTAATCTCTTTCCACTGCTCCTTTTGCAAAGCAATATAGATCCTTGCTCTTTCCTCCCAAACAGTTTTAATCACATATTGATTGCATTGCTCTGCCCAAAGAGAGCTTTGTGAGGACGATTAGGACTGCAGATGCCATCAAAACATTTTCCACTTTTTCCATTTGTTCTTTAGGGGCCCCTCGGGTTGCAGTCATGTCTTCTGAAGCCCGCGGCGACATATGGCTTCACCGTTGTGCTTGTGGCAGCCGGAGAGAGCTGCAGGGCAGAATAGAAAGCCTCGGGCTCCAGAATCCAAGACCTGGTTGCTTGAGCTGAAGCTGTCAGCGTCCAGGCCCCGGGACACACAGCTGAAGAGCTGTGCCTTTGCCCAGGAGAGAGCAGCGCTGCATGTCTCCCGGGTCCAGTGATGCACAGCACTCTGTGCACATTGCTGTGGCATAGCTTACTCCCTTCAAGACTACGGCTCCAAGACTGAAAAACTGCTAGGCCCTTACCTGGGACGTGCACGTATTCACCCTCAATGTGAACAGTACTCATGAACTAGAGGCACAGTCTGGACTAAGCTTTTTGCACCCCATTAAACCTCCTTACCTTGTTTTCCAGAGCACTGGATTCCTCTGATGACAGCCTTGGCCTTGTCAGTTCAGGTCGCAGCCTTGACATTGAGGGCTCAGAGTCAGCATCACTGAGTATGCCATTAAAGGAGTTCAGTTGCGTGGCAGAGTAGAGGGTGGGATAACGAGGCTCTGCTATGCATTCAAGGGGTGTATGTGCTTAGCCAGTGCACAGATAATCACTGTTTCCTATAAAGTAAGGAATAGGAAAAAAAACAAGCAAACCAAAAAACTGGGACAGGTGTCCTATTATGCACCATGCTCAATATGCACGTACATGGCTTGCACTGGACTGAAGAGCATGCAGAGAAGCGGCTGTATTTTCACAACCCGTCTGCCCTGCAGGAGAGTGTTTCTGCAACAGGCAAAAAGCACAGACTTTCTCAGCTAGTTGCCTGTGAACAGGAAAGGCAGGATCAAATCAACCTTTTGCTGGAAGGCAATTGCTTTCAGCTGCTGACAACCCATGCAGGGTTCAAGCCAGCTGACCTGAAGGCAAAAGGCTTTATGGCCATTGTCAAGCCAGGAGTTAGCCAGTCCTTCTAGCACAGGGCTGCTTATAGCTTTCCCTGGTGTCATTGCCTTAGCAAAGGGACAGGACCAGTGGGTTATCCTCTGACCATGCTGAACATGGAGTCCTTGTTTAGCATCCATCTCTCTGGCCTTGCACACCTTCTCCTCTGGGAATCTTTCCAGGGGCATTTTCAATCTCAGGTCTCCTGTTGCTGCTGGTCAGGCTGCTGTGGGGGTTGGTTATTTGCAGGGAAATGCGTGTCTGTGGGGTTTTCAAGCACTGCAGAAAAATCCCAGAGAAGTTACCAGTGACAGGGGCATGGGATGAGGAGCAATAAGAGCAACGCAGCCAGGACAGAGCTGAAAGGCTCCTATGAGCTCAGGGGAGAGAGATTAAAACCACATGTATTTGGTGAGGAGCAGAAAGGGGCACATGCATGCACAGACACACATGCACACATCTGTATGCACACAGCCCCATACATATCTCTGCACACACGCACACCTCCACCCCCTGCCTCAGTGCCTGTTAGATGAGAGGGCTGCCTTGCCGACAGGATAATGATACAGCCACCTTCAAATGGGAGCTGATCTGTGACTGGCACCTCTAAATGCTGCCATAATACAGGTTTTACCAATCTCTCATTATGACACTGCTGATGCGATTCTCCTCTGATGAGTGACTTTTCTCAGACTAGTGTCCCATAGTGGATGAACAGATACAGAAAAATAGTCTCACACTTGAAATGTCTATAGCCATGGGCACTACTGCAATACAGCCAGCAAATTAGGGCAGAGAAAGAGCTGAGCTGTAGGTAAGATTGAGAGAATGGTAATTTTTCAAAGAATCAGTGACTTAAGTGCTCTAAAATGCACAGGCTGACTCAGATTTTCTTGAAGCAAAGGGGGTTTTGGCAGTATCTTTTATTTGGACCAGCTGGATAGCTGGGGGAGAGGTTAGACGAGCTGCCTTCACATCATGCTCGTTTAACATCTCTCCCAACTGTGCAGTTAGTCCAATAAAAGATATTACCAGGAAAACCCTTGCTCCTCTCAAATTCCCTGGACTACCACAGCGACAAAAACACTGCCACACTCAGATTTTCTTAACGTTTGTTCAGCATCACTGGGAATGGGAAAGAGGGCTAATAGTCCAAATGTGGTATCATAGGAAAAAGAGCTCCCCGGGATACGGACTCCTACAAATGACATGTTTACCAAGGCAGCTGATCTGAATCATTGAGCCAGCCATGCTAGAAGAAAGCTATGCTGGATGGGCATCTACCCAAAATCCTTCCACTAGAGGGAGGTATAACCAATGGTTAGTGCTGGATAAAAATGATGTATAGAAGATGGTTAGTTTTGAAAATACCTAGCATTAAGCTTCACAGTTGTGACACAGGCCAAAGCCCCTGAGAGTCACTCTCGCTTTGTGCCATCCATAGCAGAAGCTCCGGTTTCTCATGCTACTTTGGATCCTCCCTACTTTTAAAAGCTTGGCCCCATCTGATATGTAACCCAGGGGCTGGAAGACACAAAACACTGGACACCGTGCTCAGGGACAGGTGACCCTCCACTTCCTTTGCCAAATTGCTGAATGTTGGGATTTTTTCGGGTGGGTGGATTCGATCTATTCCAGTCTGTCAAGCTCAGGGAAGTTTTGAGACCTATTAAAACAGAAAAAAAGCAGCTAGCCAAGCAATAAAAAATGCCATATGAATGTACTTTGTTACCGGGTAATTTAAAGCTCAGTATAGCACAATATCCCAGGCCCCAACCCCACAGCAAGGGCACAGCTCAGAGGGAGCTCCTTGCAAGCTCAAAACCCGACAGGTATGGAAGCAGGCTGATACCTTGTGAGTGCCGTGAACTGTGTAGTGTGGCTGGTTTGCAGCTTTTTGCTGAGGTCTCCGTGACCCCACTCACGTCCCCACTGTCAGGAATGACTGCTGCAGCCTGGACAGAGATTGCTGGAAGGAGACCTGGAGCGGTGCTGCTCTCCCCCTGGCAAACAGGTTGCATAGGTCCCCCTCACCTCAGGTTGCAAGCGGGCGTGCAAGCACGGGATCCCTGCTCTGCCCCGTGCAGCACCAGGGGCACTCGCACCCACCAGCGAGCCCACTGGTGTATGCACTGCTGGAGCGGCACGGGCTTGCCTTGCTTCAGGCCAGGTGGAGGACAGCCCTGCACAGTGCCAAGCCCTTCTGGAGAGATGTGAAGCTGAGGGATTGCACTGTCCTTTCTGGGCCCCTGCTGCGGCAGATGCTGATGCAGCCAGTCACGTCGCTGAACTGCAGCGAGGTGGCAGCATTTCCCAAAATTATTGCCTTGCCCAATGGACACAGCTACTTCTCTTCTGCTGACTTGTCAGGGGTAGGGCTGCCAACCCCGGGGCAGGAGGGGCCTGGCAGGAGAGGAGAGGAGAGGAGAGGAGAGGCTGGTGCCAGGGGACCTGGCTCAGAGGGGACTCAACACTGGAGTCTAGGACATGCAGCCAAGCCATCCTGCTCTCATCCGGTCGGGTGCAGGTAGCTCTGACTCAACAGCCTGAGCATGATGCATTCAAAACAGCTGACCCAGCTCAGGTACCACCGCCCCTCGCTGTTTGGGGTGCCAGAGGAGGGCCCTGAATCCAGCTCAGGTCTGCTGGCACGGGCTGTCTGCAGCCCCTCGGAGCTGAGGCACGTCTTTCCCCATCACCATAATGGGGCAGATGGACGCCCTCTTTGGCACTCTCATGTGTGGAGCTATGGGGCAGATCCGCCTCATCTCCCCTACCACAGCGCCCGGATGGAGACAGTATGAGGGGGGCTTGCCTGGTCATTGCCCACGTTGCCCCAGCCTGTAGCTAAATGGGTGTGCATCCCACTCCCATCCACGAACCCTCTTCAGAAAGAGCAGCTCTGTCTCTCTGTCCCCTTCCTCCAGTCTAGCTAGTGCTGCCAGCTGCCCCAGGGCTCCTCACCTCCTCCCTGCTCTCTCATTCACAGGGAGGCAGCAGCAGGATGTGCCCGTGGCTGTGCTGGAGAGGGCTAGTGCTTAGATCAAGAAAGAAGACCTGGGGTGATGGTACTGTCAGGCCTGTGGTAGCATCCTACTGTCCACAATGCTCTGAAGGCAAGCCGGGGCTGACGCTGGCTCCCAGCCTCTGAGTCACAGCTGATCAACTGCGCCTTGGGGATTGATCGTAGACCCGATCATTGCTCACCTCTTTGGGGTCAGGCCGCACATCCAGGAATAGCTGTCCTGTTCCAGTGTTAAATTCTGGGCCCCCCAATGCCATGAAACCTCTTTGGGGTGTGACGATGCTGCAGGCCTGGGTGGGTTTTCAGAAGAGCCCCGTGCAGGTCTGGCAGTGCTGAGACACTGAGCGGGCCTGGGCCTGGCCTCTTCAGCATCCAAGAGGCCAGCTTTGAAGGAAGGGACTTTGCATGCCCAGAGGAGATGAGGAGGAAGATCAGCCCAGTGGTCAGGGCACTAATGTCACACACAGCAGATTACGTTCACCTCCCAGTCCTGCCACAGACTCCCTGTGCAGCCTTGGGCAAGTCACTTATAACTGGGATTTTTTTTTTTTTTTTTTTTTTTTTTTTTTTTTTT